AGCATAGGTACTTTCCTGGGGTTGTGTGACATGGATTTCTCCCACAGGCTCTTTCTTTTGGCTAGTTGGTCTCTTTCTCTCCAATTATTACACATTTATAGATCATACAGAACAAAAAGTGTTGGAACCTTCTTTGTTTATGGGCTGTCTCAAGAATATCTTTCCCTGTAAAACATACACATGTCCTCACCATCATGTTAATGTTTGTATCATTTTCTATTATGTGGTGGTTCTATTTAGCATTTAACCATCACCTTTAGCAGGCACATGTGCTGTTTTTCCTCCACTTCAGGCAGCACCAGAATGACCATCCCTGTGCGCATACCATTCATAGGTGACTTGTGAAGTTGAGCTGGATAAGTGGGAAGGAATTTGACAGGTAGAAACACAGGGAAAAGAGGCCCCAGTTTGAGAAAATTGTCTTGGCTGAGTTCAAAATGTGTCTGAGAAACAGGAATGTCAAGTTTGGCTGAAATGTGATCGAGGTAATAGTGGGAAGTGGTTGGAAGGTAGGACTTTTTCTACTGAAATGATAGAATCCAACCTGAACCATAAGTGGAGTCGCATAGAAATGTATCTATATATATAAAAGGCTAATATGCAAAGTGTCCCTATGGGAGTTTGACCAGGAGACCAGGAGTTCTATTGCTTGCTATGACATGTGCTGACCACCAGGTGGTGGAGCAGAATGAAGGAAGGCCCCAGCATGCAGCCAAAAGACCAGGCCTAGGCCAGGCCTAGGGATCTGCCCATGCACAAATTTCATGCACCGGGTCTCTAGTTTGTTTATAACTAGGAAGCCAGGACAGCTGGCTGGAGTGGCCCAGATGAGCTGCACTACCCCTGACCTGTCTCTGTGTCTTCCTCTGCCCCTTCCCAGTCTCAGCATGGGTTTGTCTGCTGCCTGTTCACCTGGCAGAGCAAGCGCCTCCCGTCCTCTCCAAATGGAGTCCCCTCTCTCTCATTACTCCTCCCGGGAACATCAGGGGAGGCCTGGAGGTGGCGCTGTTGGGTCAGATGTCTGCCCTTAGAGCAGTCCTTGTGAGCAGGGCTTGGGGAGCCGACAGGGGCCGGATCTGAAGCACAGCCCACGCCTGGAACCAGGGCACAGGTTTGGTTTGGGGGTGCTCTCCCGCGGTGGAATTCCTCGAGGAAAGGAGGGTGCTGGGTAGACACACAGCAGGCTTCTGTCACAGATGTGGGCGGGTCTCTACCTAAACACTCCCATCAGCTGCACATGGCCAGTGACCCAGAGAGAAGGGCACGAAGGACATGGAGAGCAGGCTGGATAGCAGGTCTGGAGGCGCCCTTAGAGCGGGGAAGACTTGGGGACCTGGTTGTAGGAACATTGCGAAGGAACCCGGTAAACTCAGTCTGGTCCCTGTGGATATTGATGTACTTTTCAAACACCCACGCGGCAAAGTCCGGCAGGACAGGACTAAGTCTTTCCTGGTGTTTCCTCCTTCGGGCCCACAGCAGACGTGGAAAGAGCTGCCACCAAACCAGAGGCTTCTCCCTGGAGCCCGACTGCTGCGGTAGGCGTCCCCGATGCCCCCTTAGCCTGTTTCTGCCTGTGGTGCATCCTCCGCGCCATCTCCAGACGGACCTTTATAGAACTCTTCACCCCATCTCTGCCTGGCTCGGACACCTCCAGTGGCTTTTTTGCACATGTGTGGAGTGTAAAAGTTTGTCACGCGAGGTCTTCAGTGGTCTGTCCCCAAGCTACGTTCCAATTTTCTGTATCTCACAACTCCCTTCTCCTTGGTGTGGGACCTTGAGTCAGCTGGGTTTCTGCCAGTCCATTGACATGTCCCATGCTGTCCCCCCTCCAGCCTCTGTCCACTCTCCTCACCTGCTGGAATGACTGGCTGGGACCTGACCAAGACCGATGGCCAAGAGGCAGGGTGATATATCCATCCTGAGATTGTACCTAAGCAGGTGGAGTAGTAATTTCAGATATCACTTAAATGCTAAATTTATATATTATGTTTATATACTGTGGAAGGTGGCTGCAGCATTTGGACAGGTTCAAGCCTCGGGCTAATGAGGGCACAGTCCTCTCGTGACAGAGTCACATGCAGGTCCCAGCGTGGAGGGCAAAGCCCTCCCAGCACAGTTACAGCCAAAGGCTATAGTTGTGAGCTGTAGCCTTTGGCTGTAAGGTGGGCTAAGTGATATATCACTTTGGCTAAGTGATATAGAATGTGGGAGGTGCCACAAGTGCTGCCAAAGGAAAGCAGGTGCTTCCTTCGAAACCCGAGAGAACATTGTAAACATCTTGACCACGCCCTTACTTTGCCTCATGAAATCTTGCTATAAAATAAAGACTCGGCTTGCAGGCTGTGGCACTGTCTTCCCATCTGAGAGCAGCACCCCACCTAGCCCCAGCTTTATTCTCTTGTCTGTCTTCTTTAATCCTTCACTGTCTCCCCCCCACCCCACCCCAGGTGCACCCCTGACCATGCTAAGCGCGGCACAATACACAAGACTTCTTCATGCCACATCGATCAGCCAGCCCTCCAGGGCAGGTACCTCAATGGAGACTCAGTGCCCCTGCCCAGGAGGACGAAGGCTCGGGCAGAGCATGTCCCATTCTGTGTGTTGCTGCTTAGACGAGGGAGCTGGGAGGGAGTGGGCTTCCAGGAAGAGGTGGCGTTTCTGCCTGGGTCTTGAAAGGCGAATGACTGTAGAAGGAGAAGAAAAGGTGGCACTTCGGACAGAGGGTGTCATGTGGCCTTCACGACTGCAGATTAAGGGCTGGGGGTTTGGAGGGACGGTGACAAGTGTGGAGGTGGCTGTGCTTATGCTGTCTGTCAGTATTGCTGTCTGTCTTAGCGCAGGCTGCTCTAATAAGTGACTAATAAGTGACCGTGGACTGATGGTTGATGAAGTGACACTCATTTCTCACAGTTCTGGAGGTGGCAAGTCCAAGGTCAGGGTAGATCTGATTCCTGGTGGGAGCCCTTGTTCTGGTTGGCAGGTGGCTGTTGTCTGTTGTGTCCTCCATGGTCAGAGAGACTGCAGCACTGTGGTTCTAGGAGGGACAGCGGGTATAGAGAAACATTTTTTGTTTGTTTGTTTGACCAGTTAGAGACCAGTGCATGGGGTGCTCAAAGGATGGGGACCCCATTAACCACCCTCTGGTCCAGGGGCAGTCCTGTGGTCCCTGTCCTATCGCATAGGAAGTCCTGTGGATCTCAAGAAACCCGACAATTCGTTTTTTCAAACAGTAATAAAAATTATTTTATGTCTAAATATGGAATGAACAGCTTCTATAGTTGTCCACATTTGGGTGTCTTTTAAGATAAAAATATAAATTGCTTGTTGCTAAAATTCAACTTTTTAAAGTAAGATAAAGACTTGCCCAAAATAGAGTACAACATGAGAGTAAAAATAATAATAATAATAATAATAATAATAATAACAATAGAATATGGCCCAGCCAGTGTTGCTCAATGGTTGAGCCTCCATCCACGAACCAAGAGGTCACGATTAAATTCCCAGTCAGGGCACATGCTCCAGTTGTGTGCTTGATCCCCAGTAGGGGGCATGCAGGAGGCAGCCAATTTAAGTCTCATTGATGTTTCTATCTCTCCATCTCTCTCCCTTCCTTTCTCTCTAAAAAAATCAATAAAAACTTTAAAAAAATAGAATATGAATCATGAATTGGGACAAAGATAGACTTCTTGGTGCATTATAGTGTATACACTGGACACGGTCTTTTTCTTTATAGTGCTTCAGATGTTTTAGGCTTTCTGTTTGCCTCCAGTGGAGGGAGAATACATTGTGTTCCCTTTTTGTCTGGTAGATGTGAAAAGGTGGGGTGGCTTTCTTGTTCTGCAGTGACAGGCCATGCCCACCTCAGGGTGGCCCTTCTCTGTCCTCCTCAGTAGCAGGTGAGCCATGCGGGCGGAGGCCCAGGCCCCAGGTGTAAAGAAAAGAAACTGGTGTAAAGGAAGTGAATCCGGTGACGGAGACATTTAGTCTGAGGTGTGGACGGTGCACTTTCCCGCACCTTTCCCCACAGGTTTGCTGCGCCTGCAGAGGCGTGGCCTGAGTTCAGCAAAGGGGTGCAGGTCCAGTGGGCACTCGGCCTTCGGAGTTGATTCTTTTCTGCAGGATTTGTGACCAAAACAGGGTCTTTCAAGAAGAGGAGGGGGCGGGGGAGGGCTGGGGAGGGCAGGCAGGTCAGACTGAGGTTTTGTTGCACCTGGTCAGACTTAGATAAAATGATAGTGGAAATACAGCTTTAGCCGAAACCGGTGTGGCTCAGTGGATAGAGCGTCAGTCTGTGGACTCAAGGGTCCCAGGTTCGATTCCGGTCAAGGGCATGCACATTGGTTGCAGCATACCCCCAGTGGGGGGTGTGCAGGAGGTAGCTGGTCAATGTTTCTCTCTCATCGATGTTTCTAACTCTCTGTCCCTCTCCCTTCCTCTCTGTGGAAAACCAATAAAAAATATTTAAAAAAAGAAAAGAAAAGAAAAGAAATACAGCTCTAATTCTGTACCAGGTTGTACTTAGAAAGCTGATCGCGAATGCAGGAAGCGTGGCCTTAGAAGTGCGCTCTGATCCGTGGAGAGATGCCGGCCCAGATGGAGTGGCGGGATTATGCCTGGTAATCCTTCCTTGTCCTGGAGGATTAAGTCTGCCAGGGGGCCATTTTGGTCAGCTGACTGATTAAAAACACAAAGCAAACCTGGTTGTTTCTTGAGCCAGTGCCAGTGTGGTGTTGCTGGGACTGTTGGCACCTGTGGGCGGATCACAGGCTGGCCCTCCTTTGTTGACCCAAGAGAGCCGCTCCCCTGCTGGTTCCTGGTTCTGTCCCCCCAGCAGCAGCTGGGGAGCAGCGGCGGGGCCGCGCCTCCTGGGCTGCTGGGTGAAGTCGTTTACCGAACGCCTGTAAACGCCTGTGGACTGCGACTGCGGCCGGAGGCTCTGGGAAGAAGGCCCCTGCAGGAGGCCCCCTGTGAACCCGTGGACTCTTCGGCAGGGGGTGTGGCCGCAGCTGAAGGACACCGGTGGTGGCCACGCCATGCTCCTTGCATTCTGGAACGGACCTGGGGGCGATGGAGTCCGACGAGGACTACCAGTCCCCCTTTGATTTTGCCGGCGGAGTGAACACGGAGTACCTGTACCTGTCTCCCAGGGGGCACCTGTCGCCGCCCGGCTTGCCTGTGCCGCAGAGACTGGGTAACACGAGTGTCCGAGTTCCCACGGCAGTCCTGAAGCCGGGGCCCACGTGGGGTTGGCCTGGCTTTGAAATGATCCGTGTAAGGAGGGCCTGGGTGTTGCTGTGTAGGCGTCAGTGGACAGAGCTGCGCAGGTCCAGGCAGACAGGGGTATTGCATGTGTAGTGTGTGTGTGTTCGTGCAGAATTGTGCGTGGGCTTTCGTTTGGGCTGCTTATATGAGTGTGAGGGCTCTTCTCATCACTCGGAATTCATGAGCCGATTAGCAATCTCAAAGGGAGGGAGGTTCAGGCCTTTGTTCCAGCCGCCTGTACGGTTTCTGAAGACATCTACCCCGGGTTTTGTCTTCCCTCAGGGACCTGTCTCAAAGGGGCGCCTCCCCTGTGCCCGGCGCCTGAGGATGGGCCGTCCGTGCCGGCCTCTGCCCTGTGTGCAGGGCTGTCCCAGAGCAGCAGGCGGGGGAGGCGGAGGTCGTGGTCGGGGCGCAGAGCCTGACTTCAGGTTGAGCTGGGGCCCACGTGGCCCCGGGAGGATTCGTGGTGCTGGTCTTAGTCCTCAGGGTCTGTTTAGCTCCTTTCCCTTCCCGTTGACAATTGCTGTGGTCGGATGTTTTCTGTTAGAACAGAAGCAGTGGGTAGGGTTGGGCACCTTGCCAACAATTAGTATTTCAGCTCCCAGGAGCAGCCTGTAGGGGGGTGGGCTCACAGCAGAGTGACCAACGGAGACCAAACTCAGGTCCCTCTAGGCTCAGATTTAGAGGTTTGCTTCATTTGGAAAAAAAGGAGAGAGCATTAAAACAAAGGTCACCATCGCCACCCTCTAGTGTAGGGGTGTCGAACTCAATCAGAAGGGGCCAAAATCTAAAATCCAGCCTAAATCGCGGGCCGAATGGTTTACTGAACAGTCATAAACTGTCATTGTGATGGAAACGCAGCGGAGTGCAGTGATGACAGCGTGGTGCGGGCCACATTGCAAGGCCTGGCGGGACGGATTTGGCCCGCGGGCCTTGTGTTTGACACTTGTGCTCTAGTGAGAACAGCTTGGTTCTCAAATGCGCAGACCGAGGGGCCTGGCTTGGTCCTCCCAGTGGGTCCTGCCCCGCAGGGCACAGGCGCCATCTGTTTGAACAGGCTGATGCAGGGCCCTGGGAGAATGGCTCCTGGTCTTCCCTGTGCTGGTTCTGTGGCTCCTGTGTAGGAGCTCTCAGGCCGATGGACCACCCGTCCATGTACCGCTCCTGTGGCTTTGGCCGCTATGCGTTTTCTTAATCAGCAGACGAGAAGTGCTCAAAATAGGACTGACGTTTAAAGGAGTCCTCCTCGGAAAGGCTGGGAACGTGGATCTGAAACACACACTTCTTTGATATTTATCCAAAATGCCATCGCGGATCAATGAGGAAAGGACGAGATTTAATCGGTGGGCAGCGTGTTCCTGAGAAGCAGTCTGCGTTCTGGGCAGGATGAGGGCTGGCGGCTGCAGCAGGAGAGGTCTTTATCGGCCGGCAGCTGGCCCGTTCAGAAGCGCCTCAGGCTTCCTGACCCCCGTCAGCAATGCACATGCCCGTTCCCATGTGTGATGGACTCTGAGATTTTAAACTGTCCCATCGATTCTTTTGAAAATGAGTTTCACAACCCATAGTCTGAAAAACAATGACCTCTAGTAAATTTCAAAATCTGGAAAATAAGCTCCATTAGATGCCAGTCTTCCCCAGCACCTGGAATAGAGCTCGACATCTGTGGCTCAACACATATTTGCTGAACGAATGAATGACTAGATGGATGAATGGATGGATGGACGCATGAATGAATGGATGGATGGGACTGGCAAGGGCTAGTTTACACTCTGGTCCATTTTACAGATGTGAACATTGAGGCCAAGAGAGGTGTTGTGAACTCGCCACATCACAAAGCTCAGTTCTTAAGCCAGTGTTTGATTTGTTGTTTTTTCTTTAGTTCCCAGTGGTTTTAGAGGGATATTATGGAACAGGCTACTCACTCGAGAGGTAACCGGTCCTTTGATGAGGGTTACTGGACTGGTTGATTCTTGTGCCGTGGGGACCTGGACTCTGTGCCATCTGCAGTGGCCACGGGCAGTGCCTGGGCTGTTTTCTCTTTCCTTCTGAGATCACCTACCAGAATAATTTCCCAAAGGACATTCGCATCAGATCTCTGCCTCTTAAGGTTTTCCAGTGTCCAGGAGGTTGCAGTCCCGGTTTATTAAAAGGCAAACTTGGGTTGTTTCTCGTGATTTCAGGAAATAGGAGTCATTAAAAACCCTGACACACTTAATGCAGTCTTACTAAACCTCAGAGCACTGGAAAACACACGCGGAGCGGGAATTCCTTAGCTTGGAGGCCTCCTCGTTGCTGTCCTGCTTCCCTTGTGATTTCTGCTCTGGGTCCTGCTCTTCCTTTTAGGAAACGGCGATCACATCGGAGAGTTTTTCATGAGGCGAGGTCTTAGTTAGCAAACTTGTGGATGGCACACTGAGTAAAAATCAGTGGAGAATTGGAGAAACAGACCCTCCTGTTTCCTAGAGAGGAAATTTAAGGGTGGAAGTGACTTCCTCTCTGGGAACCCCCCGATCTCCATCACTGACCTTTCTCCTCTCTGTTGTGGGTGCCCCATTGTGAGTCTGCAGTTGGTTAGGGGTGTGAGGGATGGTGGCTCCGAAGACGTTGCCTGAAGATTTTTATTTTTTAAGATGAAGGAGATTTAAGGGGCCATTTAAGAATACCTGGAGGAGCCTTGGCCAGTGAGGCTCAGTGATTAGAGAGTCGGCCTGAGCACCCAAGGGGGAGAGTTCGATTCCTGGTCAAGGCATGTCCCTGGGTTGCAGGTTCAATCCCCTGCCCCGTCAGGGTACCTGCCAGAGGGAACCAATCCATGTGTCTCACGTCAGTGTTTCCCTCTCTTCGTTTCTCCCCCCCCCCCCCCCTTCCCTTTCACTCTCTAAAAATCATTGGAAAAGATATCATCGGATAGGGACAACAATTGTTTAAGGAGTGAATTAAAAAGAACACCTGGAGGAGGCAAGTCAGGCATTTGGAAAGGGGGTGGAGGTGATCTAGGAAAATATCTCTCCTTCCTTCCCCCTCCCCCACAGACTCGGGGGGGGGGTTTGCGAGGTGAGGCTTGGGAGGGTGACCTTTTCGGGGGAGGGGAGCTGGTCTTGGGGGCAGGGCTGGCCTCCAGCCCCCTTTCCCTCTGTGCTTTAGTGCCGGTGCCCTCCTCAGCCCTGACCCCGCCCAGGCATCTCCTGGGTCCTTGGGTCTTTCTCAGACGGAGCGGACATCTTCCTGGCTCCCTGCTCCTGCTGCCTGCTCTGTGGTGGCGTTTCCCCTCGGCGGCTTTCCTGGCCTCACCCTCGCCATGGGCACACGTGGGAATCAGCCTCAGGAACCGAAAGTTTCCATGGCTTGTGCTTCGAATCTCTTTCTTCCACAGGGAAACAGTGTCGAGCAGGAGGCATCAGATACCCCTTCGCCTTAAGACCCTTTTGTTTTTCTTTAACAGGTAATGGGGTTAGGGCTCAATTTCTTAGGGCAGTTGCAACATAGTGAGTGGCTTAAAATAACAGAAATTTCTTGTTATTTTATTATATTTTAAAAAATAATTTTTCAATGATAGTTTATGTATAATATCATAGTGGTTTCAAGTATACAACCCAGTGATTAGGCATTTATATAACTTATGAAGTAATCACCTGGTAAGTCTAGTCCCATCTGACACCAAGTGTAATTACTGCAGTGTTCCTGACTGCCGTCCCCAGGCCGTACTTACGTCCCCTGACTGCTTGTAATTACCAATTTGTACTTCATCCCTCCTCTCTCTCACATCTCCCGCATACCTGGCGGCCAGCAGTCTGCTCTGTATCTCGGGCTGTTTCTGTTCTCTTGTTCATTTAGTTGTTATTTTAGGTTCCACCCGTGAGTGAAATCACATGATGTTTGTCTTCCTCTGCCGTCTCTCTCTGCATTCATCGTCCAGGCCTCTGTTCTTGCAGATGCAGGTTTCATTCTTCTTTATGGCTGAGTCACAGCCTGTTCTTTCTGCCCCATTTACCCATCGAGGGCACTGGGTGGCTTCTGTATCTTGGCTATTGTAAATAATGCTGCCACGAACGCATGGGTGCATTTGTCTTTTCATTTTAGCATAAAACAACAGAAATTTCTCATATCTCAGGTCTGGAGGCTGGAAATCCAAAATCAAGGTGTCTGCAGGGCTACACTCCTCAGCACCTGAAGCCTCCCTGGACTCATTCCAGATCCTGGTGGCCGTCGCAGTCCTGGGCACCCCTGGCTGTGGCTGCATCACTCCCAGTCTCCGCTCCATCACCACAGTGTCCCCCAGTCTCCGCTCTATCACCATGGAGTGTTCCCCAGTCTCCACTCCATCACCTCGTAGTGCTCCCCATGCTGTGCTCCATCGCCATGTAGTGCTCCCCATGCTGTGCTCCATCACCACGCAATGTTCTCCGTGTCTCTGTAGCTTTTCATGATGTTCTCCTCTCTGGATATCTGAGTCCAAATGTCCTTCCTATAAGGACACAGTCTTGGATGAGGGCCCACCCCAATCTAATATGTCACTTTCCCTGGTTACATCTGCAAAGACCCTGTTTGCGTTACTGGGGCTCAGGCAGGCCAGTGCGCGCTTTTTGGAGGACACAAGGCAACCCAGCACCACCTGATTTCAAAGTTCATGCTTGTCTCTTTCTATTCTTTAAAACCTCTGTCCCCAGTTTCTTCTTCTCTGTATAGTTGGAATTCAATGATGCAAGATTCTGTTACGATCTAAAATTGACAATGGCTGAAAAGGTTTTTATTTTTATTTTTATTTATTTATTTTCTATTTTTTTAAATTAAATTATTATCTGTGTACATATTTTAACATTGCCCCCCCATACATACCCTCCCTCCTCAGAGTTTTGTGTCCATTGGTTATACTTATATGCATGTATACAAGTCCTTCGGTTGATCTCTTATCTCCCCCAGATCTCCCTC